AAGCAGCTGATGTGCTGCAGGAAATGTTGGAAATGTTATTTATTTTTCTTGAACGCTGCCACTTCTTAGCAGAGTTGGGGAAAAAAAACCCAAAACCAAACCCCGGAGAGGGAGCATTACTTTAGAGGCTCCAACACTCCTGCAGAGCCTGAGTTTTCTTGGAAGGCGGGGAAACCTGATTCCTCGGAGGAGGAAAACTTGACCCGCCGTTTCCTTTCCCAGGAAGGTGTCTGTCCAAACCTCGCACTGCAGACTGCTGCAAACCCTCCCGGATTTATTCCCTGCGTGCCCCCAGCACGGCCCGGGACCCCCCAATAGGGGGTTTCTGTGCCGGGCTCTTCTTTTAATTATGTCTATACGCTGGCATGTAAAAAAGCTGTACTCCACGTGGCAGAAATCTCTCTCCAGGCCCCAAGAAAGCAGGAGAACAGCCTCCCTCGCGCCCACGCCGCTTGCTGCCGGCAAGAGCCCTGTGCCACCCACGCTTCCCCGGGGGGGGAACGATGCCGGTGACCTACATCGGGGCTTCCTTCGTTGCACGTGCGTGCCGCAGCCCGGCACGCTGCACCCTGGACCCCCCCAGCCCACCGCCACCACCACGGCCTCGCGCTGTGTGCGGCGCGTAGCTCAGGACCGGCTGGATGCCATCCTCGGTCCCCGGGGACGTGGCATCGGCATCAGCCCACGGCAGCGGGAGTCACGCTCGCCGCCCAACACGGCACGCAGCCGGGGGAAAAAAACCAAACAAACAAACAAAAAAACCCCACAGATGAGCCCCAGCGAGGAGGTCGGGTCAGGCTCAGACACGGTAGCTGTGCAAACGTAATTTTAGCTTCGTTATTATGGCATTTCCAAAGCAAATACACCCCAAGAGTTGATCCGCTGGCTGTTGCCTCCGTGCACACATATTTAAAGATCCTCTTTCTGTTGCAAGTTACTTCAGCGGCACAAATGTCACACATGGAGGAAAAAAATTTCACCGCGTCCGACCATAAACCCACACAAATCCAGCTCTGGGGATCTTTTACCCTCCTCTGCCGTCGTACACCAGACGCTCTGTTGCCCTTTCCTAAGCGTGTAACAGAGGGCGGGTGGATCAATCACATTTTGGGAATTAACTGGAGATACTTGCTATTTTGCCAAGCTCAAACTTGATCCGAAACTCCCCAAATCCCTGGTTTGTCCCGGTGTCTCCCCCAGCCCCTGTCCCCACACTACATGGGGGACATGGGTGGTCCCGGAGCCGCGTGGCCCAGCACGCGCCCCTGCACCCAAACGCTCTTTTTTTTCCCCCAAACCAGCCAGCTCTGAGGAGGGGGTAGGGGTCCCCCTGCCTGGCCATGTGCCAAGCCCTCCCAAAAACACCCAAGAAAGGCATCCCGGGCTGGGGGGCAAAGCCAGACTGGAGCCCAGCAGCACCCACCCGCCGGGAAAGCACGGGCTGCCAGGAAAGGTGGGAAGGGAAGGACGTTTATTCCGAAAACCGGCCAAAAGGAGGAGTAAGCACCAGCCACACGCGGCGATGGGATGTCTTCGGACTCCGGCGCGGGGCCTGCGAGCTGGACTCGAGATCCCGCTCCGCATTCCCATCGCTGCACCCCTCATTTAAAACGGGTGCTGGTTTGGGGCTTAATTGCACCGCAGCCTCAAAACCCAAACCCATCAAGACAAGAGCAACGAATTCAAGCAAAACCCGATCATTTTTGGCAAAGCCAGCCTGCCAGCTCCCCGGGCGATGGTTGTGCTCCGTACAGGGGACTGCAGACCCCAGGGGACAGCCCCGGGGAGGGACACCAGCGTTTTGGGGACCGGGATGACGGCCCCGCACCTGGCACGCTGAGCTCAGCCAAAAGAGGGATGGGTCAGGATTGCCTGGGGACAAAAGACGTGGAAAGAAAGGAGAAAGAAAGAAAGAAAGAAAGAAAGAAATCTCCCCCAAACAGAACCGAGGCTTTACCAAGGGTCTTTAGTAAATCTAAACAAACTTTTTTTTTTTTTAACAATAAAGAACACCCAGCTTCTGTCACTGCTCCAGGGCCGAGGTGTCCTGCAGCTCTCACCCCTGCCGCAATGCTCATCCAAATAACCCCAGCCCAGCCCAGAAGAACTGTGAGCAGATCTCATCAGATCTCCTTTTTCCCCCTCTTTTAGCCCATCGGTTTGACATGAAGAGGTCCTACCTGAGACAAGATTTAAACACGACCAGCAAGCGTGCTTGAGGGTCTCAGTAGGGGCCATCCCACCTGGGGGTTGCAGAAGACCTGTCCTGCTGTCACCCAACGCTACGGGGACAGCCAGGTTCTTTTGGGGACCCTTGGCAGGTTAGGAGGGGTCAGGATTAGGGGGTACCGGTCCCACCTGCACCAGGCTATCCCCATCCTGACCCCATTCCCACAGAGGAAACACCCGGCAAGGCACCAGCGCAGCAGCAGCGAGTCCAACCTTTGCAGCTCACCAGCTCCAGGAGGCCAAGGAAAATGAGTGACGAAAAGCTGGGAGCATAGAAAAAGCAGAAATGTTTTAGCAAGGGGCTATTTTAGCAAGAGTCGGGTCTCCAAGCCACCAACCGGCCCTTCTCCCTTTAATGCAACACAGTATCAAGAGACAAATTAGAAAATACAGAGAAAAACCACAAATAACATGCTGGCTGCTTAATCTATGGGGGGAAAAAAAGAATAAATACCCATTCTGGAGTGGTATCGGGTTCACCTGATATAAAAGAGAGGGGTGGCACAGAGATGCAATGGTGCGTGCCGCCCCGCCGCATCGCATCTCCGTGCCGCCCCACCGTGCTGCCTTCGTGGGTTTCCCCCAGCAGCTGTGGATGCAGATGGTCTCATTTCTCCTTTTTCATTCTACCAGGGCAGAGTCTGTATTTCCCCTGAATTTTACAATTCCTGTTCTTTCACGAGAGTATTTATAGCAAAAGAGCAAAGTGCAACCAAAACCGCTCGAGCCTTCGCATGCCCCTATATATTGCATTTAAAAAATAAAAGAGTTTATCAAAAATCTATGCACTAAACGCCGTCAGAGGTGGGCAGTCAGGTGATGTCAGCTGACGATCTGAAGTCTTTTACCTAAAACTGAGAAAGCACCTGAAAAAGAAACTGGCACAGTGTTTTTAATTCTATGCCTCTGATCACCGCCGCGGTCATGGCCACCTACAAGCAATCCTTTTGTTCTCGGGGTGCGTAAGCAAGCGTGAAATAGATGCCGGCATAAATCTTGCCCTGGTGCTGCAAGGATGTCAAAATTGCATGGAAGAAGTTGAAAAATACATTTAACTCGGCCGCGGGGCTGGGACAGAGCCACGGCCGCAGCCGGGGCACCCTCGACATCGGCTTGACAAATGCCGGGGGGTTCTTTGGAGAGGAGTGACGGAGCGAGCCCGAGGAACGTGCCAGAAGCTCTTTATTAGAAAATACAGTGTTAAGCACCACTACGGACATGGCGTGACGGGTGGGAATGACGGGAGGTGGGCACGCTCCAGCTCGGGGCAGAGTGCTGGCTGGACCCCACAGCTGGATCATCAACCAGTGCCCCACAGCTGGATCACCAACCAGACCCTGCTGCAGGCTTTATTTAAGGGCAGACAATACAGAAAAGAAGCCAGACACGAACAGCACCTCTGCAGCCACACAGGTGATCTTTTTTTCGGGGAGGGGCAGGGAGCGCTAACGAAATAAAAATGCAAATTACTACGGGGCCAGCAGATCGATAGGAGAACAATATTCGGGCAGCAACATGAGGTTATTTACCCGCCCCGCATACCTGCCTGCACGCTTCTGAGCACAGCTGGAGTTCTCTCAACAGCTACAGTCTTGCATACCCAAACTAAGTTAATCAACTATTTTTAACAAGATGTGTTATAAAATGATAGACACAAACACAGTAAAAAAAAATCAGGGTGGATCTACATTGTTGTTTTTTAAATTGTCACTAGAAAAATACTCTAATTATAAAAATAATCTGCCTGTAAGCACAGAATAAGCAGTACAATTTTCTGTCAGTCTTGTATGTCGATTTTTGAACTGTTTGTTAAAGCAGCTTGTTAAACAAATATGTAACTTCTCAATATATATCAATAGCGTGTATATAATTTAATATAGAAATGACAAATAAGCGACGTAAGACAGTAAATTACAAGTGGTTAATAAATTCTGTAAAGATCATTACAGAAATGCACAGTTACGGCAGATCGCCACTTCAACCTCTGAGCCACCGGCTACAGAGAAAGACGTTTGCAGCCAGCTGAAGTCAGAATTATTTCCGATCCCTTCAAATTTTTCTGTTAGTATGCAATGCTTCTATAAATATACTATTAAAGTTTTTATATATATACACATATACACACACAGACAGAGAAAGACTTTTTTATTATGTATATATATAAAATCACTTACTTGATGGAAAGGCCCTCCAATTGTATCTGCATAACCACAATCTGGATATAATTTGGCATTTTTCCCCTTTAAAAATGAATTTTAAAAAGAGTCAAATTCTGACTCCCTGCACAAAATACAACTGGGACTTCGAGTGATGGAACCATGAACCATGCCTCCAGCTCAGCACGCAGCCAGGGCAGCACTAGCTTGCAGCCTTTGATTCTTTTGACAGGGTTTTTTTTACACTAACACAGATTCTTAATTACAGAAGAAAATGCAGAGAAGCAGAATCAAAGCTGAAAATTCTGCTTTTCCAGCTCCTTTTATAAAGCAGGAAAATAAATCTGCAGATCTCTGATTCTTGATGCTCTAGGTTTTACACTTAAAAACCCCTGTCGAGAGAAGCCAGCGTAAGGAAGGCTGCAGGCATGGCTCCCTGGAGTTCACCAGCAGTTGCTACAACCATTTTTCAAGGTAGCTTTTGCTAGATAATGCACTTCTAAATGTGTCTGTGCATAAACACCCGCTACCAACACAGTACACACCCCCCCCGCCCTCCCCGCATACGTAATTTTAAAAAAATGTAAAACCAATGATGTTTAATCAGGTTTCTACACCTTTGCCTCTGCTCTGTCAGCAAAGCTCAGGCAACTTTGGTCTCGTTTGCGTAACTTGAAAAGTGAAACGGGGACCCACTCCTGCAGAGGACAAGACCCCCGGCTCCCCCTGCCCGTCCCGCCGCGGGGACCCCGGCGCGGCACTTGTGGGCTTGACGAAGACCCCATTCCCTTGGACAAGAAAGAAGTTAATTCAGCTTGAAACCTCGCTTCCTAATAAAGATAGGGAACAGAAGAAATGCTTTAGAAAGCTTAAGAAATCATTTATAGGCTTGGTAAAAGAACAGCTGCTCTTACACAGGTGGTACCTTACAGAGTATTTGCCTATACGCCTGCCGGCGGCCGGCTTTGCCCAGGAGGGCTGCGGAGGAGCTGCCGCTCTCCTATAACAAAATGCAGGTCTTCTTGTCCTTGAAAGGGTTCTCGGAAGCGGGTATGCCCATTAGCAACGGATCTTTCTTGGCGTGTTCTTCACAGTAGAGCATTAGGTCTGCTGATGCTTTTGACACCTGCAGAAGACAGGGGGAAAAAAAAAATAAAAAACCACCAACATAAAATGGTATTTCCCCATAACTGGTAACACGATCAAACATGCCAGGAGCTGCCGATGGGTAAAAAGTCCCTGCGTGGGACCAGAGAGGTGCTCGGAGATCAATGTGGTCTCCGGGGCCCCGTCTCCTCCGAAAGACGGGCTGGCTCTGGCTGCGTCTGCAGGGAGGAGGAAAGGATGGACGCCGGTGCTCTGCGGGGTTAGTTCGTGACACGAGGCAAAAGCACCGCGCGGCTCCTACACGGCTTCTACAGAAGGCTAAAAATAAACAGGAGAAGGTTCAGAATAATACGGGAGGTTTGTAACGAGGAACTCCTCAAATGTAACGTTGGGGACGGTCGACAGAAGCGTCCTCAGCTCACCAGCCGTTTCGGGAACGCCGCGCAGGTCCCTCCTGCCACCCGAGGAAGGGCCCCGCTGCTCTGCCAGTCCGTACCTCTGTTCTGCTGGCCTCCAAAAGGAGCTGGGCAGCAATTCAAGGAGCACGGCAAAACCCCAGAAAGCAACATCCTTCCGAGAAGGCTACGTCTCGTGTAGCCAATATCCTACCCCTGCTAGCCGGAAAAAAAGTTGGGTTTCTTTTCTGCCTTATGTTAAAGGAATCCAGTTTTCACTACCTTTTTTTTTTAATAAGGTCCCTACACATTCACCTTCCTCCCAGAGGTAGCATTCAGGAACAAAAATGGAACAAAATCACACAACGTGCATGAAACTGGAAACTCGTACCTGCCTTCCGTTTCACACATTTGATTTGCACTTTGTATTTTGCTTTGGTTCTCCTACAAGTCCATAAAGCACGGAGCTACCTGAGGATACTGCTGGCAAGCGGCCATGAGAATTACATTTATTCAGGTTTGTTGGGATGAAACGTGTATGTCGTGTTCCGAGATGGGGACAAAAAAAATGAACCGTGGGCACACACACACTCCCTTATCTTATCACCCTACAGCCGGAAGGGGAAAAAAACAGGAGAAAAAAGAGGGGTGAAGAAGGACGTGCTCTCACCTTTATTCTTTCTATTGAGGCTTCTATTCTTAACTGCTGGACAGTCCTTCGGGCCTGGGCTATGTTGTTGGTCGTGCTAGCCGTTTTGCCAGACATTTTCAGTGAAGCGGTGAAGTTCTGTTTTGAAAGACAACAGGTTAGTTTTCCAGAAGGTGGCACGGCGTGTCAAACTACTTTTACACACACTCGGGAAGGGATGGTTACCCCAGGAGGTTTCGGGAGGGAGGAGAGCTGCCCGAGCACTGGGGATGAAGTGGCCGGGCTGCGTTTCGGGTCTGCAGCAGCCCAGCAGCAGCTTTACGACACGTCAGAAGAAAAGGAAAAAAACAAGAAGGCAAAGTTCAGAGACGCACTCCCGGCTGCTGTCTGCTCCCATGTGGCCATATACAGGGGGTGGCGGAAAAAAACCCAAGCGGCTCCGGGGCTTTCCTTCTCCGGGTGAGAATGCAAAGCATCAATCCCGACATGGGGCCGGTGTTCGGATGGTGTCCAGCGAGAAGAAAGGATGCTCTCCGCTGGGAACGGCCACCCGGTCCGGCAGCAATCCGAGCACGGCTTTTGCAGCTCGACCCCTCGCTCGCAGCTACCCACGGGATGCCGACAAGCGGCACGACGGCAGCACGTCCCGCCGGCTTACCGGGGAGCCCAGCCCGTGCCGGGATGCCACGTGCTTCCCTGCAAGTTGGACCAAGGATGAAGACGTGCTCCCGACCCCACCGAAGAGCAAGGAGGGAACCAGGATCCTCCGCGTGCATTTGCACCACTCGGGATTCGGAGGTCTATAACCTCCCGGTGGTCCCCAAAAAGCTCGGTTTCTTCAGGTGTACATAACTCATACGGCATACTCGAGCCTGCCCGGGCTTACGGGACCACCACAAGCTGTCCCTTCGCCCGTGCCACCCTGCAGGCCACCTTGCCCCATCTCCCTGCAGCACCCATCCCGCTGCGTGTCCCCGGCCGTTTCTCATCCCGTGCAGCCATCCAACCGCTGCTGCTGGAAGGAAACTAACCGTGCACGGAGCAGCCGGAGCAGGGAAGGGCCGAGGACCGCGCAGCATCGCGCTCAAAAGAATATCCCTACAGGCATCGCAGCAGCAAAGAGCTTATTGCTAACTTATTCAGGCACCCGGGAGTTCAAAGAGCAGCTGGTTTAGGACAGCCCTAGCCTGTGAAACCATCCGTTGTGCGCCAATCCTTGCACGCAATCTCTAGCAGGACTGTCCCCAAACCCTGCCGTTTGGTTTTCCACGGATCCACGAGAATAATTGGCTCCATAGAGCTGTGCTTAAATCATTTACTGCATTACAGGGACTCGAGTCCAACGTAGCTCCATGTGACCTTTCCAAGTGCTGCATACAGCGTTTCCTTGTAGGCTTCAGGTTTCTCACGCCTCGGCCTGGGTAGCAGGGCTGTTTTTCCAGCCAGTGTTCGTGCCTGCCCAGCTAGCTGGGAACAGCAGCGTTTTGCACCAAGTCCCTGTTTCGGCACATGCCCTCATTTCTAGGCCGCTCAGCAGGGCCCCAAGATTTTCAACATTTTTCTCTCCCTCTGCAGAAACCAGCCCTGGGTTTGCCGTTCAGCCCCGGCGCGTGTCAGGCCAATGCAGCCCGCGCCGGCGCACAGCACCCACGGCAGATGTGGGATGCCCCCAAAACACTGCTGTACACCCTCCCGGCTCTCCTCCAAGAGTACCGCAGGCACCCACGGGTGCTTTCTGCTGGCCAGGGACCCTGCACAGCCACCAGCAAAAACCTCCACCCGTGGCATCCTCAGCATTTTTTGGTAGGAGCGATGCACCGACCCGTGCTCCCGCAGCACCGAGCGTGCTCGGCTTTCTCTGCAGCCCGACGATCTACCGGTGAGAAGTATGGCAAAGCGGTGTGCTAACTGGTATTTCACGCTTTACAGCTCAGGGCTGACTTCTGCTGCTCTCCTAGCATCCCAGCCACGAATCGCAAACGAAGCAGCCTGCTGGTTTTCCCAGCCGCATCCGCGGCAGGAGCGGCGAAGCCCGGCGAGAGCAGGATCAGAGCGTTGCGGAGCAGAGTGAACGCCGGCCGCGCTCCGCAGCCGAGCTGCAGGGAAAGCAGCCCAGGGATGCTGCCATAGCCTGGGAACAGCCGGCAGCGGGACGTGGGGGGACTTTCCTCGCGACGGCTTTGGGCAGAGTAATTGCCAAGCGGCCGGTAACACTCCTGCTCACGGGCGGCTAGGAGGGACGTTCATAACTGGTATTAGGTAGCACTAAAAACTACTTTCCTGAAACCAGTATTAAGACCGTACTCGTGAACCTCTCCAATCTGCATGGCCGTATAACAGCCCCCCAGTATTTAGCTCACTGGCCCACCTTCCCAGTAACTCTTTGCAGCCGGGAGGAGGAGACAAGCATGAAAACCAGAACTAGTTTAAATGCTGCACATGCTCCAAATGACCGATTTCAGGGCAAATCACAGAAGGTCTTTTGTAATTTCAGAACCTTTAAACGCGTGCCAGTTCAGAGATCGCAGCTCTGAGCAAGCGCCCTGCAGCAGGCGAGGGCACCGGCCGTTTCAGGGACACGCCGCATCTGAAGCGTGTACCTTCCACTCCTCCAAATATTTCCACCCAGGGTTTCTGTAGGCAGCTACCACGAGTAAAGCTGCAGCAAAGTTGAGGAAATTTGAGCAGAGCAGACACCCGTGACACGGAGGCTGGGGAAGCCGGGCTGGCAGCAACACAGTGCCGACTGACTCGCTCCGGCTGTGCAGGAGGACAGCTCGTAAACCGTGGTCGCTTCAGCTCCGCGACAGCCGGGTCAGTAACCCAAGCCTCGGGCTGCGGCAGTCGGACGCTGCCCCGCTTCCCCACAAGCCCCTCATCGCCCCCAAATTTCCCCAAAGTTCCCGCTGCGCTCCAGAGAGATCACCTACGGACCGAGCGGCACGTGATTCACTGCTTACCACCCACGGGAGGTCATTATGGCAAAATTAAAAAAAGCCAGCAGGATTTTTCCCTCCGTGGAGCAGCGTTCCCTCTATGGCACTGTCTTAACCAAAGACGCGGGCGCTCATCCTCGCTCAGCACCCACCGCCCCGCCGCTCCGCGGTGCTGCATTTGGAGCAGCACGAAGGAAACGAGCCAGGGCTGTCTGCACGACAGCAGCTCACCCTCCAGCCCTGCAAGCCTCTTCCAGCCCTCATTTAATCCCTGCACGACGCGGCAGGAGGTGACAAATCCAAACCGTGAGTCAGCACAGGACAGCTGAAGACGCAGCTGTGACCGGGCAGCACCAGGCACAAGACCCTCGCTCCCAAGAACGGGCACTGGTTTTGCCAGACCGGGGCTCCCATCTCCCAGCGCCGTCGGCTACTTACTCGGCACGGCCGTGGGTACGGAGTTTTGGGAGCGTTGTTTGCCCTAGGGAGGTGTGAAGTTTTTGCGTGCTTTGGCTGTGAGGAGGAGAGTTAAGACGCACGGGAGTCTGAAATACCCTCTGTATCAACATCACGACACAAACTCTCGGTTACTAACCCAGATCCACCGTATTAGTCGCGTTATTGCTAATCACGGAGCTGTAACATCCCACAGCAAGTACACAGTGTATGCGTCCTGAATTACTAATATTTGTAGCACCCAAATATTAAAATGCATTTCGATGGCACACTTAGTGATTCAATCTCCAAATTACTCAAGAGAAGGAGGAATGCTGACTGACACAGCGTAAACAACTTTGTCTGGAAACAGTCGTAAATCTGTTTGCAAAGGTTTAATATTCAGACATTCTGCTTTATTTCTGGGAAAGGGCAAGCTACTTGGAGCACGCTTCTCATTGTAAGTGATGATGGGAGGTGTATGTTGAATGCATGTCGTATTATTTGGAAAAGACAAAGTGAAAACTCTCTGGAATTCAAGGCAAAGGCCGTGGTGCATTAACCACCTCCGAGGTAAGCCCTGCAGTGCCGTGACTCAGACAAGAAAGCCTCTTCCATTTCAAGTCAGCGACAGCCAACTCGACGAGCGGGGGAGGTTTGCACCACGCCGGGCAACGCGGGAACGCACTGCGTGCTTCACCACAGACACAAAAGCAGAATTTTAATAAAATAGGGAGAATTACCTCGCATCCCGAGGGGCGGGACGTGCTTTAGCTGGTGGGAATCGGCAGGGTCAGGACCACGTCCAGGGCTTGGTGCCACAGAGCGGGGGACACGGCGGCCACGGGAGAGCCCCCATCTCCCCCGGTGCTGCTGGAAGGGACCCTGACCTCTACCAGCCGCTCACCGGAGGCAGCGAGACGGACCGAGCTGCGGCTCCCGTGACTCTCAACAGCAGCACCCCAGCCAGAACACGCGTAGGCTCCGCTGGTAAACCTGCCCCGTGATTTTTGCGATGCTGTTGTGAACGGAGCTAGGAGACTTGCACGTCTTGGCACACCGAAGAGCTGCAGCCTCAGATCCGACGGCTAATGCGGGCAGACTGCACTCCTGCAGCACCAAATGCTCATTTAAAACAGCATTTGGAAACGTAACAGGAGTTACTAGACTTTTGGGGCATTTAACCTGGTAATTGGAGGAATTTAATTACTGAAACGCTAACTGTTAAGCTAGAGTTCCTAGAAAGGAAGTCTGAAAGGACACAGATTTTGTGGGTTTTGTTCGACGCTTCCTGCCGTCGCTGGCGTGCCGCGAGAAGCGGGCAGGGGGACGGCTGCTCTGCTGCCGCAGCCCCCTTCCAACACACAAAAATAGCACCGGGGCCTGTTCTGCTCAAAGCCGTTAATACGTTCCAGCCCAAGTTTTGAGACTCCTTCCCGCTGGAAGCCACTGATTGCAATGGGAAACTACCAGACCCGGGGCTTTGCCGGATTTGGGTTTTGTCACCTAATCCTGGTGCTGCTCACTGAGGTCAAATGGCCACAGGGTCCGACGGGGGCTTCTGCTCAACATGTAAATGAGGCTTAACTCGTTTGTAAATGGTAACGGGATCATCCTTGCAGGGGATGCTTCCCCCTGTCCCGCCCCACCCCCAGCACAGTCCCTGGGGCTGCTCGCTGCTCTAACTCCCACCCTGGCACCCCAACGTGGGATTTCGGACCGTGATCCCGGGTAGGCAACGCAAGCAAGGCACGGCTCACCAAAAAC